GTCCTTGGGTAGCTTTTATTGACTGCTACATTTTTAAGTACACTTTTTTCACTAAAGTAGTACTTTCACTACAGGTCAGATAAAATGAGAGCAGAACCTAAAGCTGTTTTTCAGCTGATCCCTGGTTGCTCACCAAAATTCAGTTGTCAATTTCTCTCTTACCTTCTATTTTTAGGTATAAAAGTGAGAGAAAAACACAGTTTTTGAAAAGAAGAGTATTCAGAACCTTCAAATTGAACAACAACTGGAAAATATATTACCTCTTCCCATGGCTGAGGATAGTTCTTTCTGATGTAATGGATACTTGTGTTGAGAAAAGGTGACCAGTGAGTGTCTTCAGAAACAGAATGGAACAACCCTGACAGTTCAGAGAAAAACACTTATTCTTTAAAAAATATCTCATATTTATTCTACATGTTGCATTTTAGTCATACAGAAGGTAACATTCAATAACAATTTTTATGCCAAAATATGACATGAAATTTTTTTTGAATGCATATGATCAAAACAAATATATAATGAAATCCCAATAATATGAATAATTAAAACATTCCAAGATCCCATTCTAAGATCAAAAACTTCCCAGAAGAGAACAGTGAGAAGCGAGTCCTGCACTGTCGCCAAGAAACTGCACAGGTGTATCCACAAAGCCACCAGAAGTCAAGCTTGATTTAAAAGAGATTTTACTTTATTTATTAAACCCCAAGTGAGTATCTGTTCACTATGTGTCCCCTGATTTTAATATGATAAGCACTACTCAAAGTTTCAGTTAACTGCGGTTTATTCTTAGATCTGAACATGGGCCCATTGTCTATTTAAATTATGATTTATCCACATAAGCCAAGATCATAAAGTAAAACCACACTTAATCAAGAAGAGGAATGCCTCATTAATGTGTAAAGAAGGCAGGTTCTCACACCTGATTGCAATGCATGAAGAAAACCAAATTGTACACTTACCTGTGTATTCCAGACAGTTACATGAATAAATAGACTGGACTATTTTTGCAATAATGTAATGTTATAAAGAATGATATTTGACCTACGATCTCTTACCATTTCTGCAGATGACAGGATAAAAAGCATCAGGATATAGACTTCCTGCTTGATATGCATCTTGGTGAGCTAGTATTAACTGCACAAGAGAACAAAGAACCAAACATATGAGCAGTAAAAGGATATTATTATTATTATTATTATTATTATTATTATTATTATTATTATTTGATTATTATATAAGGGACAGAAAGGGCACATTATTATATAAGGGATAGAAATAAAAATTTTATTTTTATTTAACAAAATCAAAGTTATTCCCCAGAAAAATCACAGAAGGTGTAATAGAGATAAGCCACATGATTTGAATCTAGCATCACATTATTAGAAAGTTCTTCTGAATAGGATCCACCTTGGCTAATACTCATTAACAGTGATTTTTGCAGTAACATAACTTACTCATTTTAAATCCAAACGTGCACCTTTCTCGGTAGGATGGCCTTCAACATGCTTAGGGAGAATTCTGAGAGCTGTCCGTCAAATACCTTCCCAAACTGTTAAGTCTGTTCCCTAACTATCCCTCATCATATTACTCAACAACAATACAATCTATAGATACTTCCAGGCATAAAATCAGCAGCTTATTGGAATTTATCAACTTCCATGAGACCGTTAAGACTGATGGTCAATGAAACAGCTTCCTTGAACTTAAGTTGTGCTTGAAGAGCACTCTCTTCTGAGTCACACTCCTCAGCAAACTGGTAACAACAGGAGAATAGAATTTGTCTAGCTGAATGTATCATGCTTTGGATGAAGAAAACAAACAGCTGTCTCTCTTACTAGATATTTCATTTGGGACATGCCAACTAATTGCAAAACAATTTTCCTTCTGAAGAAATAAATAAGGAACTCTCCCTGCAGCTATAGACAAAGGTAAACAAGTCTGATTCTCAGTACACAATGACAACTGTGACTCTAGAGAATGGAAAGCTATCTGTCTGATTTCACTTCACAAGTACAGGGAACAATCATGAGAATTACTCTGGTTTTGCTTTCTACAAAACATCAGAATTCCTCCAATTCAGCTCTGTTCATCTTTCTGAATGATATTTGAAATGCAATCCTAACTGGATTTTAAATTTTGGAAAGGATTAAAAATGTAATATTTGCTTATATAGTGCAGAAGCTGAAAAAGACTGCCTACATATGTAGCTAAGTAGCTGAAAAACTAAGGTATTGACATATTATTATTTAAAATATATTTCTTTTTTCCCCACACAACAAAGTAACTACAATTAAAAACAGAATTAAAATATATCCTACATTTAGGTCTGCTGCCTGCCTGATTGATACAAACCAACAGGGTTGGTGTGCTTCAGTCCTTTCAATTAAACAGTGTCATCTTTCGGGACCCAGAATGTACACTTTCTCTGGCACAGCACCTACCCTCTGAAATGAAGTTCATCCTGAAATCTGGGAGGCTCTAACCCTGATAGCATTCCAGAGGGCCTTGAAAACCTAGCTTTTCCCCCAGGCCTTGGGCTGGGGTGGCTGGAACCCCTTTTGAGTTCTGTGTTGGCTGGATTCACCATCTTGTTCTTCATCAGCTTTCACTTACCTATTTATTTATTTTTAGTTTTATTTTTGAATTGTATTCTATTTTCTTTGTTATATTGTCCACCACCCAGTCACCTGAAGTCAGGCAGCACCTAAATCAATTTAATTTAATTTAATTTAATTTAATTTAATTTAATTTAATTTAATTTAATTTAATTTAATTTAATTTAATTTAATTTAATTTAATTTAATTTAATTGCTTTTATAGCCCTTCCTATAGGCTAGGCAGTATTAAAATACTGATTCGTGTTACAATAATAAACCCCCTACCTTACGATAGTCAACTCCTTCATCTTGCTGGCTGAAAAATTCTAGCGCTCTATGAGCTGAAAAAAATAAGATCATAACACATATAGCAATATAAATTTGTAGTAGGATAGACAAACTGTAGGAAAGAATCAGCTCCAGCTTCTCAGCCAATAAATATCCACATTTTTTTATACTTACACATACTTTCGAAGATGCTGGGCCTTTCCTCACAGCTCAGTTAAAATGTTGTCCCTCCATCCTTGTGCCAATAACAACTATACTGGCCTAAAATGTTCTGTCTCCATTACAGATCCCTAACTGGCTTCTTGGTCCTCTGCTCTGGCTTGTTGCCAAATGGTTGTATCCTGATTTCATGTGTGCAAGGCAGGTTAATCAAAACATTTATTATTGTCTCTGGTTTTACTGCTTTTTTACATCAGCCAGCAGGAATCTATCTGCCAATCGCAAACACAGTCAGCTGTCAAAAAACTGGTACATCCTCAAGCCTACCAGGTGGGTAATCCAGGGGAGTGAGGGGGACCCAGTAAAGCAGGAAAGGCTCTCCTGTTTTACTAGGCAACCCAGATGATCAGCTGCTGGACAGGCTTATTTTGACAATGTGTTTAAGCTGAGGCCAAAACAAGGCCATCTCAATTTATGGATTGGTTGCTTTCGAGTGGGCTTGTTTTGAAGCAAGTTTATTTCTAAACTCAGTCTCCAAAAAAGACTTCCCAGCATCTGATCATAATATCTGCATAAGGAGAAGCCCATCACATCGAACACATGTTAGCAGACCAGTGGCCTTGTTTTGACAGTGGATTTCCAAAGAGTTGTGTCAAAAAAAGCCTACCAAGCAGTTGATCATTACAGCAGCCCAGTAAAGCAGGAGAACTGCGTCTGCTCCACCAACACTCTTCCAAAGAGCTCTAAATATGTAGTCAAAACAAGCCACTGAACTACAGATCCACATGGTGTGGTGGCCCCTGTCCCTTCAAATACAAAAGCTAGCTCTGCCATTTTACTGGGCAGTTCCCCCAGCTCCAAAGCAACTGTTTGGTAGCCAGTACAATTTCAGCTGGCCCATGCTCTTTCTTCCAGAATGAAAAGAAAAAGAATGGCAGCTGAGGAGAGTGTCAAGGCATGTCTGTACCATTTTATGAGTCAACTGAGTGCCCCACCAAAAGGACAGGCATCAAATCATGTCAGATTTCACAAGCAGAAATTTATTCAGGCTGCTGCCATCTGAAGGGCAAAAGCACTGCTTAAAAATAAGAACAGCTAAGGACCAAACTCACTTGGGATGAGCAAGGATGAGATGAAAGCCCTATCATGGAGACCCCACAGAATACTGTAAAAAGATTGGCAGGGCATGTTTCTATCAAGGAGGAAAGGTAGATGAATAATACAGGCGAATATTCAATGATATAGGTGTGATATGCAGTGCATATCAGTTTCATCAAAATGAATTGCTTTGCTGTACTAATACAACTATTCACTTCATCATAGGAAATATAATATATACATATATAACACACACACACACATGCACAAACATAGATCTGTTATATAGGGAGCCCTACTGCCATGGAAATTCCTTCCCATCTTTTATTGCTTGACAACATGCCTGAGCAATCACTGCCTTATAGATTATATGCTTTGCCTCTGGATTTTTTTCACCTGGGGAAAACAATTTGGGAGAAACAGTCATGTTTTTACAACTGTTTTTATAAGTGGGGAAACAAGGAGGAGGGCAGATAAAAAAGGTGGAAGGGACAAAACCCTTCAATTACATTCAGAAAATAGCCATTTCCATCCCAACCTAGATTTAAGGGGAATGGACTTGGAAACACCTACATGTAGACAACATGTAGACATCTACATGTCTACCACAGGTGGCAGAACATAGACAATCTTGCCTGATCTTAAAAAAGCAAAGCAGAGTTAATTAGGGTTAGCCATCCAAGGGCTGGAGGACAGACTTGGAAGTTGAAAATAAATCAAGAGAAGGCAAGAACAAACCAATTCTATACTGCCACCAAGAAAAATGTAAGGATGCTTCCATGTAGCTCTAAACTTCCTAGCATTTTAACACATCTACAGTACTATAGAAGTACTATAGCAGGAATTGTGCTATATATTTGTACCATTAACGTTATTAATGTCCCCACTAAACAACAGCTAATAATAATAATAATAATACTTTTTACAGTTATCATATCCTTATTGTAACAGCTTACCTATTTCAATATGTGTTGACAGACCACATGGTGTAATTCTTTCACAAAAATTGCAAAGTACAGCCAGAATAAACCAAATCCTGAAAGCTTCCATGCTGCTGATATTCTGCAGTATAAACCACAGTTTTGAAAATGTGTTCAATAGGAGGATTGCAACCTTTGAAACATGGGCTAAAGTGCATTTCTTAGTCAAATAGGACAGTGGCACTGATGCAAAGGCTTCATGCTTGAAATTCAATTCCCCATTTCTATCAACTGGCTTATAGATTATTTTACAGGCAAGAATTAGACCAAAAGAAACCTAAAATTCCTTACTCATTGATATGAGTCAAATCATGCTAGAATGGAGAGAGGGGACTATTACTGAACTTCGCTTGGAAAAGTCCATCCCTTAATTCTTGACTATTTAGCCAACCTAGGGAATCTCCAGATGGATAGCTCCTCTACTTCAACTAAAAGACATGGCTTAATGGAGTTTCTGTCATACAAAATAAAGGAGAAGCCAGAGACAAATATAACAGGTTGCAAAGAGATTTAATCTGCCTTAACATGACAGGTGAAGCTGTGTGTTTGCACAATAAAAGGCTCACCTGGAAGCCTCCCTTGCTGAGTACTGTAGCTGTACCCAAAAGAACCCACCAACCCATATACATCTTTTTGAAAAAGCAGAAGCTGAAATGAGTATTGTTTGTCCTTCTATTCATTCCATTAATGCAAACGATACCCAGGAACAAGAGGCCTGCAAGATACCAGTTGGATTCATGGGTTTAGAAAGAAATAACAATTAAGAGCTAATAATTAAATTCTGAAATAAATGCAGCAGGTCATATTTAACAACAATCCTTTCTCTTTTCAAACTGGCAGAAGAATCTGGAAAATACTGAGGGAGGGAATCCCAGCCAAGAAGTCCCCAACACCACACCACCCTATCCCACCCCACTTCACCCCTTTCCTTGGCCTCTCTCTGCCAAGTGTGGGATGGAGTTTGGGCCCACAGCACTGCTAGAGAATTTTTTCAGCAGCTGCCCCTGCCCACTTATTTTGCTTATTTAAAAGACTGCTACAACTTTCATCATGTAATTCCGGATCTGGATGTAGCATAGCGCATAAACACAATAATTTGCTTAAAAAACAAATACAACAAGTATTCAATAGGCATGATAAAAAGCAGCAATAACCTTTTCAGCTACAAGTACAATGATAAGCCAGAGTGAGAGGTTATTGAAGTGCCTGGATACAGATCCATTTTAACTTGATGCTGAAAAGGATTGTAAATTACAATTACTTGCTGAATCTCTTCAGGAGAAATATTCCAAAGCTGAGATATCCCCAGAGTGAAGTTCTTTTCTTTGTAATAGCACTTTCAGCACAGGAAGCATTTGGAACAGTGCTGTTTTGGAAGTTCTTAAAACATGGACTGGCATGTGAAGTTGGTTCCAAAACTGTTCCAAAGAGCTAGAAATGAAAGAAATAGCACCTTAAACTGAGCGCAAAAGCAAATAAGCCAACAGTGCAGTTCTTCTAATTGGAGTTCTTTTAATATTTGAATGAACTGTACTGTCAATATCCTGACAATTTTGCACAAAACATTTTCATGGCAATGATGAGAGCATAGATGAGCACAGCTAGATCATTTTTGATGACAAATAACCACAGCTAATATTATCCATGCCACTAAGACCATTTGAAGCTTTGGTTTATTGGCCCTTATCCAGACCATTACCAAATCTAGACACCACTTCAGTATTGGCAGAGTACTCTGTGATGACACAGAGAAATAAATATCACCTGACCTCATTCAGAAACTTTGTATAAATGTTAAAGAGCATAAGAGATATAATGCACCTCTATGGGATTCCGTGCCATGTTGTTTCTCCCTGTCTGGGCAATTAAACTAATGCTGATCACGGAAAGAACTACTACTTCATCCATTCATCTCTCCTGTTTGTGCATTCATATAATCAGTGTACCCAAGATTAACCGATCTTTTTGCCCAATATACTGAACCATAAACTGGGTTTGCATACCAGTGTTTTCTGGATGGTGAGGACTGAGCAGAGAGAAGTTAAGTCTAGTCCTCCTCATTGCACAGCCATGACCCAACTCTATGTGGCAAGTGAGTGGTCAGAAGCAAATGCTTATCTTTTCTTCCTTAAACAGTACTATGGATCCAATTCTCCAACAGAAAATGACAATATTTAAAATGATGAGTCATTTTAACATCCTGGGACAGTCTCTGGCATTTAAGAGTGCATTCTTAATTAAATGAAACACAGTTTTCAATATGCAAATTTATTAAGAGATTTAACTGTCCTGTAACAGCAGGATAAAGGGTTATTTATTTTTTAATCACATTGCATGTACTAATCAGCTCAATGATACGTAAGGACGGCTGCATTATCACACATCTATATTTGAATGACCATGGTTAATAATCTTCACTGTCTGTATTTCTGCATTTTTGTTTTCCCCAGACTAAACTGCTTGCAATTTATGCCCCCACCATATAGGTTTACAATTCAGGATACCCATTTACCTGATTAAGAGGACTGCATTCCCTGAAAGCATATGGCAGAAAAAATATGAGATGTTAAGGTGCCACAAAAGCACTTTAAAAATGTGTCTTCATTTATGTCCCATCCTTTTGCATCCTTTCTCTGACAGCTCAAAATAGCATACATCAGGTTTCAGCTAATATTAACCAGGCAACAACCTTGCACTGAGAACTAGTGACAGGTCCAAAGTCACCCAATTAGTACTACTCTGCTGAAGTGGGGACTTCATGAGGCACTTTAACACACTGACCATTTCACCTCTCTCCTCTTAAAATCAGCAGACTCTCACTTCCACCATATAAATGTGAGATGACACTCAGAAGTGGTTTCTCCTAAATTGCATGTACGGGTATGTGTCGACTAAACTACAGTGGCATGGCCGTTTAGCATAATAAGTCCCATATAAACAACAGGATGGCTATAACTGCCAGCCCGAGAGCGTGATTTCACGGTAACCGGACCACCGGGTGACTTTACATTTAAAGCCATCCTGGGCCACGATGCAATGGCATTACCTCTATGAATGTGTGTAAACCCCACTGAGTCCAGTGGCTCTTTTCCCAGGTGAGCATTGCAAACACTCATGTGCTTTCGCGGCTCCTCCGGCCTAGCTGACACCTAGCTTGGCACTGTCTGCCAAGTAACCGGGGAGTTCAAAGGCTCGTGTCGCTCCGCAGGGACCCTTAGCGAGCTCTTCGCACTCGCCCGCCCCGCGCTCCGCCCTCCGCCCTCCGTCCCGGGGGAAGGGCTATGGCGGCTCGGGGAGCGTGGCGGCCCTTCCGAGGGCTGCTGGTCCACCGCTACTACCGCAGCCCCCGGCTTCTGCTGCAGGCGTCACAGGCGAGGCCGAATATGGCGAGCCAGTCCCCGAGCCGGCTGAGCAGCGCTGGCCCCGGTCTCGCAACGGGGGCCGATTCCCTGGCGCGCTCTGGAGGCTTCGTGGGAGGCCGCTGGCTCCAGGCGGCAGCCACTTTCCCCGTGCGGGACCCGGCCAGTGGGGCCGAACTGATCCAGGTAGCGGACTGCGGCGTAGCGGAGGCTGAGGGCGCGGTGAAGGCCGCCTACGAAGCCGGAGCTGCGTGGAGTGGGGCTTCTGCCAAGGTGAGCGAAGAGAGGGCGGTCCGGCGGCGCACCGTCCAGAGAGAGGCTGCGGGGGATCAGCGGTTTGCAGGAGGCTGCACAGAGATTAAAAGGTGCCGTCGTTGCCCGCCCCCGACATCCGCCGTAAAGGAAACCAGATGGGCAAATTGGGGTGGGGGGATGGGGAAGGAAATGCTTCCTAGGAATCCAAGGGCCTGGGGATTATTTCAAGGAGTGCAGAAAGAGCGTAGAGTTTCTGAAGATGTGCAGAGTGCTTGCTTCTGATTAGCCAAGCACTAAGTATTCTCGCTGAACAGCTCCTTGCAGGTTGACTTAGATTCAGAATAAAGTGTTTATCTAATAAATGTAATTTATTAGAAAGTAAACACTTTATTCTGAATCTAAGTCAGCCCTAATCAGCAGCCTCTACAGCAAACCACAGTGACACCAAAGTAATGGCCCAAGCATGAGGTCATCATTACACAAATGCTGTCATTATGTGCTTTATGTACTGACATCTGATGGAAGTACACAAATTGTGGCATTTATGTGCTGATGTCAAGCATGTGTTGTCATTTGCTCCCCCTTGTCATCCCTGCAGACACCCATGTATTCAATCTTAATAATGTCCGGGATCTAGAGTTAACAAATATTTTTAAAAATTGTGCTAGTTGTATTCAAATACACTGGTATGGTCCTGTGGTTGAATTCTGGATAAAAAAATCAGATCTGTAGTACTCACCGGTAGATTAAAATCCAGTTTGCAAATCCAGTGAAAGAAATTGCTGTAGTGGCAGTTTCTTTGATTACTTGTTAACTAAATTGGCACATGTACTTTGTACAAGATATAAGGTGTAATATTTATATGCTTCCAATATGTGAATATTGTGGTGATACCTGCAGAGACCCATTAGAAGAATACAAGATATTTCCCTATTTTCTGCTTTAATGTATTGTTGTTTCTAAACCATTTATTCATATATATAGTTTCAAATTGTATTTTATCCAGTTTCTAAATATAAAGCCATCTACTCTCCCCGGGGTTCCTCAGGATCAAAGGTTTTCATCAGCAATGTTGCATCACTGTGCCACAAGCTTGCTCCTTTCACACATGCATACAACATCGCCACACTTGTACAAAAGGGGCAGAGCTTGAGGTGTGACCACTTTCATGATTTGTACTTCCTGTGGACACCTTGGCATTTTTCTACATTCTGGAGCCCAAAACGAGAGTAAATTTAGAATTAAGTCAGACTTACTTCTGCATAGACATGCGTAGGATTTTCCTCTTAGTAACCTGGAAAGTCTTGGATGCTTTTTAAATGTTAAATGTTTTGTCTATTTGTTTTTTACATAAAGTATCTTTCCACCCCTTGTATTCTCTCAGGCCTCACTTGGCCTGTGTTTGACAGTACAATAGATACACTGTACTACAAACTAGCCAATGACTTTTTAAATCTGTTGTCCACAAGCTGCTTATGATGCAAACTCAGCCATGCAATGAGAGATGAAAATTCAGACATTGAATTAACTGAATAAACTATGTTTAAATTAACTATAGGTAGGTATGCCACAAAAGATAGCCACTGAAGATGTTTGACTATGAAGCTGATGTATTAAAATCTGGTTTTAGTTTTATGAATAATATCAGACTGAACTTTGACCTACTTCATAGATTTGTTGGAATGATCAAGATTGAATAATGTAAGACTCTTTATAAGTTGCAGCTATACTTAGACAAATTTACTTTTGTTTTCAAATTTATTTTACAAAGATCCTACTACAGTACAGTTGTATTTTTTATTCAGGATAGAGCGGTTTTGCTTCGTAAATGGTATGATTTGTTGATAAAGAATAAAGATGAACTTGCAAGGATCATCACAGCAGAGAACGTAAGTATAAAAAGAAAGAAAATCTTCCACTGAGACTTGGGCCTGAAACTTAGCTTGCTGATTACAGTTTCACTTAGAAGAAAGTTTGGAGCAACCAATAAATGAAATTCAGATGTCCTTTCTTGCTTCTGCTTGCATATACTCTAAATTATAAATCATGGTTCATAAAATACAGTGGCTGTATTCACACAATACATTAAGCCAGTGTTGTCCAAACTTGGCCACTTTAAGATGAGTGGACTTCAACTCCCAGAATTCCCCAGCCAGCATGGCT